TAGGCTGGGAATGTAATACTGTGTAAGATCCTCTGTCCTTCATACTCTTTCAATGGATTTATTATGCTGCTGGTCAAAGTGAAGATAACTCACTGTCACTTCAAACCTTCCTTTCATGAGCACTGTCGAACTCCCCCTCTCAGAATCATTTTAGCCTCACTTGAAGATGTGTTCTATTCAGCAAAGTTTTGAGGGAGTGAATTATCAGAAAATGGTCAGAAACACAAAAAAGTTCTGTTGTGCACTGACCCAAAAGTTGTAGTTGGCAAGAATTAAATTACATGAGTGAATTCCATGATCAGCGGGAGGCATTTCTCATCTTGTTTGTGATTCGCCTTTGCTCCTCTCTCTTCTAATACCAACACTGTCAGACTGTAATACATGTGGTTTAGTCTCTTATTGCAGTGTACAACAGAGTAAAAGTTCAGAATATAATAGACACAATGAAAGACAACAGTTCTTTTAAAAAAATAATTAACATGGTTGTTTATAGAGTGCTGCATGAATGCGTCTTTTTGCATGTTGCACTCACTTGTGCTGGAGTCAGTGGGTTTTCTAATATTCTATTTTTAACTTAGTCTCATTTACCACTTGTTAACAACTATCATATAAAAGACTATTGATTTTGTCGATAACCATCACATTGCACTTGAAATGTGACCTCTCTGTTTGTCAGCGCGTGTCTGGATCTTTTATTTTTGCGTCCTCTTTTAATTGCCCTAAACCAAATTGCCTCCATGTGTTGAAAAATACTCCCTTTTTTTGTTAAGGGAACCACAGTAATTTCGGAGCCGGCCTAAAAATATTTTTTTTAGGCCGGCTCCGAGTACTGTCGTCAACATAATAAACAGAACAATTTTCCTCACATTAAAAACATCTACACACAATTATTGTTGGTGAGTCATTTTTGTGGAGTCACGTTTTTCATTTTTTATTCATTTTTCAAGCCAGTGGTTTGAACTCTATCCGCAAATGGATTGTGGATAAGATGGGTTTTTTTAAATCTGTGGATTTACACTTCTAATCACTCTTCTTTCCTACTTTTATTTACACTTCTAATCACTCTTCTTTCCTATTTTCATTGTTATTTTTCCAAAAACTCCAAATAAGACAACACAGTGTATAATTGCTTTTCAAAAAATATACTTTAATACAGACATGTTTATAACCAGCGTGCATCTATGACCTTTAAACCCATGTAAATAAAACTCAAGACAGAAGTACTCATGACACAAAAAATTACAGCATAACAAGTCTTGACATGCCTTTGTAAGTACAATACAACAGACGGGCAGGGTTGCTTGATATTCAGGGTAAGGAGGTGAGAAATAGGAGCTTTAACCCATCTATACATGTAGGAAGTGTTCGGCCCCTTTATCAGCATGCAGCACAGTCTGTTTTCCTTGCACATTGGCAGCTTTGTTTGATTTATATCCTGTCTGATCTTCAAGGTGAAGTCATTGCTGCCAAAAGCCCCAAAGCACCTACTGTATCTACAACGAGACGAGTGAATGTATGTGTGAAGGTGCTGGGGAGGCTGGGAAAATGCAACTTTCTGATAAGGAAGTGTGAGGACACTTGATCACGAACTTGGATTTTTTTATGACACAGCAGTACATAGTAGGGGGACATTAGTTTAAGTCTGCATTACTGTGGTTGTCCATTGTCCAGCAAGACATCTTCAGGCCATGTCATCCACATATGAGCCAACAACATACATTTCATTTCAAGATTTAAAAGATTTGTGCTGCTGGTTGCTTGTCTTTGTTGAACCTCGGCCCACACAGAAAGCTGGACTGTGACTGTCGGGGCTGTATTGATGGGCTGCAACATTGACATCTTTTGTCTTTTCTGTCTCTGTGCTGCTGCTCATTTTTGGATGAAGTCGTTGGCTCAGCGGGAAATCTGCAACCACAGGATTCCTTGTCTGGGCTCATAACCACACATCAACCTTATCCATCAATAACCCCATGTAAAATCTACATTTGTGACATGACACTTAATGGACCTTACAGCAGAGGTTAGGGTACAAGCCACATTTCATTGTCAGTTTTATGTTTGTTTTTTTCACATCTATTGATTGGTCGCATGTCACTAAGAAAGATTTTTGATTCATATTTTGTGTTTGTCAGCAGCACAAGGAAACACATGAAGTGTCTGCAGATTCTGCCTTAACATGTTGTATTTATACCAAACAATCATCTAATAACCTCTTGTTTATCCATTTGGAAATTTAATATAAACGACATTCATTCATTTTTGTAGGGAGGTGCCACAGTGTGAGCAAGCAGTTGACATCTTACTCTCTCACAGAGAACCAGAAAAGAACAGCTTTTGTCCATAGTCATGTTTTTGGCCATCTTATTCATGTTAATCTAAAGCTAATGGCAAAACTTAATTTAACCTCATACACTGTGTACTTCCTGGAAACGGTGATGTCAATATTTGACAGTGAAAATATCGACCCACAGCTTTGCTCACTCTACTTAAAAAAAACAGTTTGACTTTCTTGTTTGTACCACTTTAAAGGTCCAGTGTGTAAGATTTAGGTGAAAGGGAACTATTGGCAGAAATTTAATGTAGAAAAATTCTCATGATGTTTTCACTAGTTTGTTTCATCTAAATTGTATGAATTGTAGTAATTGTAGCAGAAAAGTCCCTTTATATTTAAATACTTTATATTTACATCGAGGGGACCCTCTCTACGGAGGCCGCCATGTTTTTTACATTAGTCCAGACTGGACAAACTAAACACCTTTTGAGTTTTTATGAAAATTAAAGGCTACCACAGTCTCTTTTCATGTTTGGAAGGAGAGGGTGAGGTGAGGGGTGTTCAGCTGCAACATGCAATTTCAACACTAGATATCACAAAATTCTACACACTGTACCTTTATGTGATAATGAAAATAACATCTCCATCTGATGTATCCTTTTCTTGGCAGTCATTTACAAAAATGTAACCACCACCTTGGGGGTCCCTAAGATGGGAGGCCACGACAGCGACCGTTGAGGATGGTAAGTTTCCAGTGTTTCTCATTTCACACATACACAATTGCAAAGTGAATATTGCAGGTCAGTGTTCACCAAAGTTGAACGCCACATGAAGCCATGTTACGATTTCCTTCACCACAGGAAACAAATGTTTTATTCACCTCCTCACTTGCACAGATTGGGAGTGAACGACAGGTATATGTCCACCGCTGAAACATTTGCGTATGTGCGGCCTTTATGAATACACCATCAGGAAATATCCACTGCATGTTGCTATACTTGTTATGGCAGAATGCAAATGGAGGCACAGACTATTCACTGTTTCAGCTGAGTAGGTAGCTTGTTACCTGCTAATGACATGGCGTTAAAAGGACAAGTGAGCTTGAACCACACTGTGAGTGTACAGCTGTAAAACCAAAGAGGAACTCATCCTTTTACAAAAGCATTCAGCAATTATTAAAATAAAATGATAAGTGCATGTTCCAAAAATGTCAAAAACATGTCGTTTTCATATTAAAAACAAAGCAACAACATCAATGAAAAATTAGCTCTTAATTCTGGTTAACACACCTGTGAGATACAAGATACAACTTGGCAGTTGTCTTCAACCATGGCCTCAAGTTGTTATGCTTCACAGGCATTAGGCATCACATTTAGTTTGACACAGATGCATTGATGCTCAAAGATGCCGAATGTCACCTCTACCAGACGGACTGGCATGACATGATTACAACACACACTTAGTTCATCGCAGACAGACACCATAGTGTTACGTTTTCAACACAGAGAATCGCTGTGCAGCATAGAGAATACAACAAATATCCAGTAATAGTCAACAAACATGCACCACAAAGTCAAGAAGAAGACATTTTACAAGTCACTGCTACATCTACTGTAGCCAACAGTGAAGTGTTCAACTGTGTGACCATAGTTAGCTTTTATATTGCTGTTGACCAGTTGGTGGGAATACTCATTGCTTTTGCACATGGCTGCATTGCTTGCTACACTTGTGCTGAGATATTTATTGGTGCTTTATCATCTTCACAGTGCCTTCAGAGAGCTTATTGTAATAAAGGCAGGGAACTGCAATCTGTGTGTGTTCATGTGTTTGTGTTGTGCTGTGCTACTTAGTTGTGTGAATGTTTGTGTGTTTGTTTATCCCCTGCTGGCACTTCATAAATATGTTGTCCGACTACATCTGCAAAAGAGACAACAGGAGACTGGCATCTCGAAGTCCCATTGACCATCTTCACTAAAGATGAAAGCTTTGACACAAACTAGTCCACGCGGGATAAAGTAAAGTAAAAGTATCCAAATTCAGAAAGGCCGCTCTGTCCTCTTGACGAGCAGAGATGAATGAGGATGCGCTGCCAAAGTACTGAAACAGCATAGAAAAACAACGCTTTCTCTGCAAGCGCCATCACAGAGCTTCAAAGGAGAAGGCGAGGACGAGATGAAAGGCTGGATGCATTGTGGTTTTTGAAAAAACCACTGGCTAGCCCTATACTAACTGATGTCAAGGTTTGCATTTTTAGCAGTCTCTCTTTTTTTCACGAGGATATGAAGGCTGATTCTATCAAGTCGAATCAAGTGTCCTCTGATGTTACACACGGGCAGGTTTGTAATGATGGTCACGAGAACATTCAAGTTATTCTCTAATATTATGACAGAAGCGTGTCCAGCAAGCAAATATTTACATCGATAACTTGCGTTTCTGTTGGTACGTCTCCTTCATGTCCTAGCTGTTGTCCCTTTTTTAGTCAAACTTTGAACAAACAACTGAAACATGCGAGAGCACAAAACTCTTCTTTTATGTTAAGTCTCCGTCCTTAATTACTTTTTCGAGTGACATTTAAAAAAATGTTCTAGAATCATCCACTTTGAAAAACTTTCAAGAGCTGACTCTGCTTTGCACTGTCCATCTCCCCAAGTTCTGTAACTGTCCGAACAGTTTCGGAAACACACTGTATCTAAATAGCAGATGGTAACTATGGGCTCTCAGGGTCAGAGGACAGTAAGAGAACGCCTATTGGGTGTGTTACATTGGACACACTTTGTTCTCTGGGATGGGCAGCTGGGCAAACGAGCCGCAGTCGGTCGGGGAATCGTCAGACCTGGGTGATGCAGTGCCGCTCAAGGGGATGCGGGCTGCGATTGCTGACATTTCTCCCGTTTGACTCTCTGCTGTAATTCCTGGTCGCTCAGAAGTCTGGTTCATGTTGCTGTTGGGTATCGTCCCCATGCCAGTGAAGAGCTGGATTAGGCACTTCCGGAACTGGGCAGAAAAACATATGGATTATGAACAGTGAGACTGAAACAAGATTTAAATAATTTATGATTGCAATATTTAAGGTATCATATTCAAAGCACAAGAAACAGTTTTAGCTACTCAAAACTGGAGCTTATGCGTCTGTGCTTCTATACTGCTACCAGAATCTGAAACACTTCCAATACTGCTGAAAATGTATGCACACACACACACACACACACACACATATCAACACTGATCACCACATAATGATCAATACTTTTCTTAATGAGAGAAGTTTGTCAGCTTTTCCTGCTCGCTCTTTTCCTGTCACAAACACACAAACACACACACACATACACACAAACAATGTCATCAGACACATGTTACATCAGACCGGGGAAAAACAACAGAATTTATAAACTTGGGTAATGTATGGAGAGCCAGAGAAGACAGAGGGGTGCACTCAGTTTGGCTCGATTCAGTTGGCTGTGCGCAGCGCGAATGATAGTAATTTACTGCTTCTCTCTGTGTCACTGACAGAGCCAGTAAAAACTGTAAAATATGATTTTTTTACAAACATGTTCTAAACATGAAAAGACCCAAAATGACATTGGTTACCCAATCACTGTAACCAAATTTGTCCAAAACTTTTTTATCCATATAAACGGTTGTTTTTCTATATCCGTGATCTGCTTTCTACTGTATTAAAATACTTTATATATAAAAAATTATTTTTTTAAAGGCACTGGTATAGGATTGGAACTCAGTATTTGCTAAGTCCAGGTATAGGAATGTGTATCAGGAAGGGAAAAATGATACCAGAACATCTTTAGTCTGGGCATTAAGCGTGCAGAGCTTTGATCAACCCAGGTGATCATTTTGTCCCAGTGTGTAGAACCTGTCTGCACTGATGCCCAAATTTCCAGTATTCAAACTAACTTCTGCTCCTTAAAAAAGAAAAAGAAATTCACAATAGTGAATAAGTGACTATATTACACAACGTGTAATTGTGTCCTCTCAATAGGCAGTGACGATGATGCCCTGTCTGTAGCTGTTCTTGGAAGAACACAGCCATTGTCAACTGGTCCTCACTAATAGCCCCACAATCATTTGTTTCCACATTACTTTTAATCTAAAACACACTAATTGACCTTTTTCTGTGCTGAAGTTCCCACTCTGTGAGGCCCCGGGGAGAAATCCTGATTCCTGACCCTTAGTGACCTGTCTAATTTAACATGCCAGCTTCCTAACTGCTCCCCTCAAGCCAGTAATCATTTTCAAAGTGTTGCATTAACTCCTCTATCACCCTCATGAAAAAAGCGTTAGTACTAGTTCTAAAAAAGCTGTGCTGTTGGACCACATCAGAAATCAGCTGTGTCGGAGTAGAGGTGGATTGAAAGGTTTGTTGTGATAGAGACAAGTATCTGCCTTTTTAGCTGTTGTTACCCAGTAGCAGGAAATCAGTTTCATATAAAAATCTATTTATTTACTTTCTAAGAATTTCTTTATTTTGTCACATGCTTCATATTTAGGCGTTTTGCATCTGTTGATGTTGATCAGAAAGTGAAGCACCAGGGATTCTAATCCTTACTTGACATGGGTTTTAAAGAACACTATAAATGGTAAACTGGGTTTAAAAGGGCTCCTCACCTTTGACCTTTTGACCCAGGAAATCCTCAGAGGCGGTCTACTTTTAACATTGCTACTACTACTAAGTAGCTGTGCTCATGCATCATCGCAATCTCCTGATACCCTGGTTCCCCTCACTGTTATGTCACTCGGAGGCCCTGTTCAGACCTGACCGCAACATCCGTCTCAAGTGATCTGATCACAAATGGACAACTGAAGTGTAATGCCAGGTATGAAGAGGGCCAGAGAGAAAGGAGTATTACAATCAAGCAGTAGCGATTAGGTGACCTCCATGAGCACCAGCAGGGGCTCTGTATAACCCAGAATCCATCCTTATTTACATCCAGTGGATGTCTTAGTGGATGACCCATTTAAAAGTGAGTGCAGCTCAGAAGTGGGGCAGTCAGATGGACATGCAGACTCCCTGGCAATAGGGGTTTTATTTGGGCAATTTGCCAAGCACATACACAGTACATGTACTGTAGCTGAAAATAGATCACTTTAAATGTACTGTGGGAAAGTCTCATAGAGAGTCATGTTCATCATAACTGGCTCTGACAGTTAGAATGTATAGAATCCTATTGAAAAAAATAAAACCAGACATGAACAATGAAAACTTGCCACTGACAGTGGAGCAATGTGCAAATGGCGAGAAATTCATGTGAACATGAAAAGGTCATTAACAACTTGGAGGAGACTTCAGCAGGGTTTCGTGTGAACTTTGAACGATGGCTCCATACTGCAGCGAACGGTAAAGTAAAACTGATGTGACATCTGTAAATTGGACACAGCATGTTTACCAGACACAACAACAGCACTAAGTCGGTGAGTTTTCGAGGAGCAGGCAGACCTGCAGGGCATCACAGTTTTGCTTGAGGACACTGGGAGCTCTATTTCACACAAGGACTTTTTGGCTGTGGAGCACTGAGTGACTGTTTGCACGAGTATCACTCTGTGCATCTTGATACTCTTCTACACCAAAATAAGCAATTATACACAACTTTTTATTAATTGCATGTAACCCCCCTAAAAAACTCCTTCCCCATTGCCAGTAGAGGAGTCATTTGTTTTGTTTTTCCTCCAGTACGTTATGTGTGTCACCACAGCATCAAAAACTGAGGCGCTCTCTCATCTCTCAAATTACCGAATCCCCTGTATGTGTCTCATGCTATCATTGCCGATCAGAGCTGGAACCGATAAAAACCTGTGTCTACTGCAGAGTCATTTTAACCAGGAGTGAATGCCCATTGTATCCATTTCAATTGCAGACAAAAGCCAGATGTTAGTCTTAACTACATAAGCAAGATGTTGGTTTTAGTTGTTTGACTTGAGGAAGTGTATGAAATGTACAAATAGTAAAAAATAAATGATTCTCCTTTTTACTGGGGACCCCCTAAAACCCCTCACACCCTCAGCGGTCTCCAGACCCCACATTGAGAACTGCTGGCCTACAGTACATCATTTATACTCCTACCAGAGCATCCGTGATCACCACTGGGAGGCAAGTTTCAGCTCATAGTAGAGAAAATAATTACATTTATTCTATATGACGAATAATTCCCAACTCCCCAAATAATTGCACTGTGGTTACATGATCAAAAGTGACTCAAATGGAATCTAGAAACAAATGGAGAGAGCTTTTTATCTTTGCACAGTCAACAATGATTACCCAGAGCGTGAGTCTCACTAACACCGAGACAAAGACGAGACGGTGTAATGTAAAATTAAACAGTGATGGCGAGAGATAAAATGTCAGCATGTGCCCTTTCACATACCATAGGCAGCTAATGTATTTTTTAACAATGAAGTCATACATGGATAGTTTTACCTTATTCACACACTGTGTAATATTTAAAGACAGACCAACGGCCAACATAACAAAACAAAAAGAAAAGAAAAAAACAACGTTACAGTATTCTGCAGCAGCTTTCATCTGTTGCACACATGCTGTGATGTGTCTCAACCGTGGCAGAGGAGGGATTTCGCCACCTTCCATCTACTCTGCTGAATCCAGACTTATACCGAACTGAGCACACAAGGTCCTAGTGCGGACTGAAATAAAAGTTACCTGTTTGTTCATGAAGACGTAGATGATTGGGTTGTAGACAGCGGCTGTCTTGGAAAAGAAGGCAGGGATGGAGGCCAGCCTGGGATCGAGTTGGATGGTGGGATGAGCTGTGACCAGGATAGCGAAGGCTGCATACGGCGTCCAGCCCACCATGAATGCAACGATCATGACCACCACCATTCGGGTCACCTGTCGCTCCGGCTTCTTGGCGCTGGCCAGACGACCATGAGACACCTGGAAGAAACACTAAACCATGACTATCCCTAGAGCACTTTCTAACTTACTCAACACAGGTCTTAGGATTCAACAAATAAAGGCTTTTAAAGGCTGACACGACATTAAATATCCATCTCTCAATCTATTTACTCCATAAAACTGTCTATATTTGGAACTCATACGTCAAGAACTATTCATCTTATCAGCTTCACACTAAAAAAGGAATGCAGTGTCTAATTTGGGAGGATTTGGACACACATAATAATATGATTTGAATAAACAGACGACCAGGGCTCTGTACCAGCGGCACATATGACTCATCAATGCAAGTGACGTTCACCACAACCACAACAACTGATTCCCCAGTTCAGTTTTGAGCCTTTGCAACTGCTCTTTTAAATGAAGAATAGGTCCTTACATCTATCTTATTTTTATTCTTTTATTTAATATTTCTGTACAACATAAATGTCATATTCTTTGACACCTTTGTGTCGGGTATTATCAGTGTCTTTAAATCTATATTCTAGTATAGCCACTCAAATAAAAGACATGATTATGTGAAGAGCTTATAATCAATGTAGCTGATTTAGATGTTTACAGCCTATTGTCTGCATTGCTTCTTCAGTCTAAAGCTGCTTTTCATACAACTTGAATGGAAGTTTTTCTGCCAGACTGCAAACTAGTGTCAGTGTAACGCAGGCTGCTTAACAACACGGCCACCAGCGGCAAAGTGTCTGTGCAGCACTGGATTTGAGTTATAAACCATGACGGCGTATTTCAGTCAATGCAGCCCAAATGCACAGCAGATAGACTGGTTGTAATGAAGGTATAAATGGCTTTAAGGCTAAATGTGGCCTTAGAAACCGAGCAGAGGAGGACTCAAACACAGAACAAAATCCAGACTGCAGTGTGAATTTCATATAATACAGAGCTGCAAAGACAGTAAAGAAATGTGCAAGACTGAAAAAGTTTCTGTCCATGTTGGACTTTCCTCAGTGCAGAGTGAGACATGCAGCCACTGGTTCACAATTAGCACAGGTCACAGAAAACTCAGACAAATGCTGGTATACCTACATACAGTGATGGAAATGAGCCTAACTGGTGCAGACAGACAATAACAAAGAGTGACAGAGAACACCTCATGTCCAATTCTTCATTGCAGCCACTAGGGTGGAGTGTTTTAAGGTAAAAAATATATCTACACCCACCTTGGAGTAGAATTTGATTAAAATTACCCCCACAACATTTGAGTAACTTCATATCAATGCACTAATTGTAATTGTGCCTTCTTTGATCTCCAATTTAGAGTTATTTGCTGCTATTATTGCATTTTTTTCTGCTTAAATTGAATTTAGAATGAAACATTTGCACTACTTGCACTCAGCACATTTTTCACTGTCTGCAGCTCTGCCACATGTGATATATAAACATGTGAAATCCAGTCTACAGTCTGAATCCTTTTCTTTGTTCTTTGTTCGAGTCCTCTTCTGCTCCGAACTGTTTATTGTCTGTCCACTGCACCAGAAGAGAAGACATGTGAGGAACAATTAACAAGTTGAAATTCAACCAAAGCCTACCGTTAAAATGTAGCAAGTAACATGTTCCTTATGACTTTTTATTTTGCAGTTTTCGATTAAAATGAAAAACTCAGAAAAGATTGATTAAAGCATGTGAGACAGAGGTTATGCCTCTTTTATATGTCTTGCATTGTAAACATTAAAATCTTACACTCTGGTTTTCTTAATCATCATATTTTGATATCTAAAAAAAAGCTCAATTTTAGCCAGACCAATGATTTTCTGCTTTTAAACAGCCACTGACATCGAGGAAGAGTGAATTTACTAAGAGGAAAACACTACAGAGCCACTCTCTAAATTTTAATTCGTTGATAAAGCTCCTTGTGAACCTCTCAGTCCACCTAATTAACTAGACAGGTACTCATAGAGGACTGAGCCGAAGCCAAACAGTCCTGTATGTCTATGTTAAGGGAAAATAAAGGAAAAAAACATCATAGACACCTGAGAAACAAACTCTCTACACTTAAGTGTAATGGTTTCCTCTCTGGCCTTATGCCCCATCCCTCCACCACGTTTGGTGCAAATCAGTTCAGCACTTTTTGCAAAATCCTGCTGAAAGTTACACAAACATCTTTGGTGGAGGTAACGACAGGGCTGAATTGATTTGCTCAATTCTGCTGAGGAGATGATGCTTTTGTTGACCGCACATCGACACAGACGTCGGCTCTGATTGACAAATTAGTCTCTTGATACGTCATTAACACACCCTCTCACTTTCTGTGAATTCTCCAGATAATCTCCTGCTGTTTTATCACAGTTCATTCGAAACATTATCCAGAGTTCTAACTAGGGGGCTGGGAGGAGAAGCTCTGGAGAATGTCCACAGCCTCTCCCTCGGACATTTGTGCTCTCACATCAACCCCCCCAGAGAATGCTAGTGCATGTCTGAAAGCAGCTTATGGGTCCATTTATAGCAGGTCGCAAGAAAATTTGCATTTTGGTTCAAATTAAAGGTTGTTTTAATTTTTTCCCATTTGGATCTCCAGCCTTCCAACAATCATAAAACAGACCTTATGTCGCATTTAATGGCTCTGATGTGCAGTCTGTGAATTTATTTTGACCATCAATGAACATTTGGTCTCCTCTAGCAGATATTAGGGAGAATGAAAATGAAAACCACGTATTTCAAATCCGTGTGACTGTAAAAGCATATAGTCTTATGAAGTAAACTGTAGGAATGTGTTTGAGGGAGAACTGACCTTCCTGAGCTTGCGGAGGAGTTTCCCGTAGCAGAAGAATATCACTCCGAGAGGGAAAATGAAACAGGTAGTGAAGAAAGTGATGATGTAGCTGTGAGCCGTCATGTTGGTTGAGTACCTGGTCAGACAAAGGCAAAAACAGGGTGACAGTCACTTTGGGGGGATTTAAAATTGATCGACCATAACACAACACAGATGTTAATGAATAATGTTTAGGAAAACAGAAATGTAGCCTTCTGACTTGTCTTCTCTTGATTTTGATGAGGACGTTTTGATCAAGTTGCATAAGATCAATACCAAAAGTGGTTATCAGTCCCATAATGTCCCAGCTATGAAATGTCATTTTGACATTCAGAGGCTTTTATCTGGCTGGAGAGAAGGATGACAGCTTTGCACCTAATTTGAGCTTAATTTGACAAGGGAAAGTTGACAGCTGAGACAAATATCTGTGGCACAATTAGGGGCCCGAGGCCTGTAATTTAGTCTAATTATGTAATTTCCATGACAATACCTACAATCGTCAAATAAAACAAGCCCCCAGATTAATTTTGTAAGGGAGCACCAGTGTGTGTGTGTGTGTGTGTGTGTCATGCATGTGTGCACGTTTATCTTTGTTGAACCAGGGAAGTGTGGCTGAACACACATTTATGATGCTTCTGTTCACACCTCATTTTGTCATGGGTCACATATGTGAAATAATTATTATTATTATTAGAAATAATGAGTAATTATTTTATCAGTTTGTTCAAAAGTACTAAACTAAACCAAAACATCCAGGTGAGTATACAGGATTTTACTGTTCTTGTTCTTGTTTTTGTGGACATTTGTGTTTTTAAACCAGAAGTAACCCGATGTGGAGTAGCAGGGGATGAGAGTGAGGACCCTGCATGCCCACCTACACCTGTGAGCTGCTAGCTGTCAAGGCACCACATGCATTGGGGTGTTGATACCATGTGATTTGATTCTGAATGGAACCATCATTTACTAAATGAACATCATGCTGAAGAAATCTCAAAATTAGAGATTGAGACCATAAACTATTCATGAAAATGTTTACTGACGTTATGAATCAGGTGAGAACTTGAGTCCCTTTCTCATCAATTTCTATCGAAACTGACCTTTTGCCACCAGCGGAGTTGCTCTCTGTTGATCATTTGACAGAACACACATTTCAGGCACATGAGAGTTGGCTTCACTTTCCGGACCTGGAGTCTACATTCGTTTTTAATTTAAGTCCACAGTCTATGGCCAGAACATGAGCTCATTCTAATCACACCCTTTATATTCTCTTTTTTTTTTTAATGATTATAGTATTTCTGTGGCAATCTGAGGCCACTTTATTTCTCTGCTCTCTAAAATGTGCAGTAAAATCTTTTCCAACTCCAAAGAATAGTTGAAATTAATGGTTGCCTTCATCACTTGATACACTTTTTTCCCCAGCTGTCACGTTTGACAAGGTGAATAACATGAACCTGTCCCGACGAATCTGTCAGAACAATTCCCAGAAAATATAATTAGTTTAAAGAAGAAGTCTTCCCACCACCAACTGCTGTGCCCCCCGTTCAACAACTTCCCACATGACTGAGGGAATCTGCTCATTTACACTGCAGAGCTCAGAACTGCTTCACATCTCAAGGTCAACACAACACCGGAGTTTACCAGGTCTTTTTTATACTATCACCAGGAGCCTGCAAATTGTAAAATGTTTAAATCCAACACAGTACTTTTATTTATTCTCAGTCATCCAGCTCATGGTGTTTCTAAGTGTGATCTTGAACACGTTTCACCTCCTCTGTTCCGTAGCAGATCCCACCCCAGGCAGCTTAACACCCATTTGTACTACAACTCATGTGACCCTAACAACTCACATGTGATCTCGATCCACTGCCCTGCACGTCACATGCACAGCAGGGTTTGTTTTTTTCCCTCAAAAGGAAATCTCTGTATTTAACTGCTTTCATCCTTCACTCATTTCTCTTCTCACTGGTCTCCCTGTCACTGCCTCGGACTGGAGGCAATAGAGGCACCTTATACACACACACAGAAATGAGCGTCCGTATGTACAATCATTCCAGTTTGTCACACATGGACTTTCATCAAGGTCTCGACTCATCTCAGGGACGATGAAAGCAAAGAGGAAGCATCTGACACAGCACAGGATCCAAATAGTTCTTACCTTTTAATAAACGTTTCTACTGTTAAGGACTAAGAACATATTTTCCCTTTGTCAAAAAAAACTAGAATGGCACGCAGCAGGCCCAATAGTCTCCTTATGAAACCACATTTAAATTCACTAGATCTGGATTTTATTTAGTGCAGAACAAAATTTCACAAACTCATAAATATCTGTCCCTTAAACATGCCTAAAATCATATACCTGAACCCATGAATCCATGAATTATTCTTTGAGAAATCAATGAAAATGTTAAAACTTCCACCAAGGTGCGTGATAATCTGTCCAGTAGTTTTTGCTTATTTCGAGCCCAACAGTCTCCTTTTAACAGTCTCACATTTAAATCACTAGATCTGGATTTTCATGTTGATCGTGACCAAATCGCACACTCACAATCATNATTGTAGCACTTTGTAGTTTGGCTTTTTAAGAGGTATATTGTAATTACATGATTCTTGTTGTTCTGGGCTTGTCCCCTCATTGTTGATGCACTTATTGTAAGTCACTTTGGATAAAAGTGTCAGCTAAATGAAATGTAATGTAATCAAGATCTGTGTAATGATTATAATGTTGGTTAAAGTTAATTCACAAATTTTAAGTTACCCTGCAAACCAAGTTATTATTAGACAAGTGAATAAATCACAGAATGACGCAGGTAAGCTAATGTTGATGTTATCTCAGTAAATCAATCTGCTGAAATCACACTAAGGCCAAACCACTTCATTACACTACAGCTGATGTAATTTTTAGTAAACAGTGTAGCTATTTTTTGTGTTCATAGAAGATTGGTAGGAATGAGTGCAGGTTTGTTGCAGCTCAGTCTTTAATTTGAATTATTCCAGGTAATAGAATTTCATTGAACATTGGAAATGACTACAGCTTCTGTTCTACAACGATCTAACGACACACACTTAGTGGCTTTGTAAAAAGCAAGTTTGTAACTTCTAAAAAAAAAAAAAAGACTGGTGTTGATTGTATCCCAACCCCTCAACAAGGACGCAGCCCCCTCCTGACAATCCACTGACACCAACTCCACCATGTAAAATCCCTCCAGTTGTGCTCTTTAGGATTCAGGAGTGGTCCTGTGCTGCATATTCACATGTAGCCTGTGCTAACTTGATGCACACAAATGAGGCATTTAAAATGCATCAGTTTGTGAGTGTGGCTACGCTCCTCACGCACCTGTGCTGGCTGAGCCCTGTTAACCAAATGTTTTCTGACAGAGCTCATGCTGTGTGCAGCCAGAGGTGGAGCGGGTCATCTATGAGATCACACATGTATCTCCATAAGGTGATCTCTTAATTGTATTGTCTGGAGCATTCGTTCCCCCTCTGTATGCTTCATTCGAGTAATGGCCCCTTTAGAGGGCTTGAGGCCAACTCTCAGCCCCCTATCTGCAGGACTTTGATCAAAGCAGCTAAATAGCATTACCCAGATGGCACCCTGAGGGCCAAGGTTACAGCCGACTGGTTTCTTGACTCTGTCCATGAGACACATTTACACAGTTTGAGCTAATACAGTTGAAGCAACATTGTATATCTGAGCCACACTGAGGCTCAGTGCAGAATGTCTATGACCTTAATCTGTTTGTGTGTGAGGTGTGTGTGGAGGGAAATAATGAAGGCAGGGCTCTTCTGGGTTAAAGGTTGGGTGAAGCACCAGGGTTAAATAAAGTTAGTCCGGTATAAACATGGCAATAGACAAATAGATGAGCTTAATGTTGGCACTGATTTTACAAAGAGTGGATCACTTGATCAATTCCTAGATCATAACAGAATAATGCAATTTCCATCACTGCTCATTTTAGAAAGGTCATCACCAGGAAACATGTTCAAGCAGATAATGACTCACCGCTGCTTCGAGCAGCTATTGGTGGTGCAGTGGTGGATGTAAGATTCTTCTAAATCAAGGGCAATAAAAGGAGCACAATTTAAACAGAGGGGCCAATTGGGTGCACATTTTATTCATTCCTCATGTACTGTTAGCTCGAGCTTTGAGCAAAGCCACACATCATTGTGTATATATATTGAAATGTGTCCCTTGTATGAGCACATTGTGTACTTGAGAAAATAAAAATTCTTTACGCATTGTCATATATACTGTGACTAGTTTATTAAAAAAAGACTACTGACTGCACAGGGACACTTCAGGGGCCAATCAGATTTCAGCTGGGGCTAGGGCCCCTCTGGCCTTGCCCTTGGGTTTGCCCCTGGGTAGCACTAGCGACATGGCTACAGCGATCAGCAGACTGCTGTCCAAAGCAAGACACAACTGAGAATTTGATTTAGTGACATTGACCTCAGTGCTATGATTAAATCTTCCTGTTCTGTTAATACAAAGGCAGATTCTGTAGCTTTTAATTCTGGAAGAAATAAGGTCAGTTAATGTCAGCCAAGCCAGATACTTTACGGTGGACCATAAAAGAAATCTATTCATAGTTTTTACCATTCCTGTCAGTCTCTGCCCTCCCTCTCTGAGTGTCTCTTATAAGATGTGTGTGTGAGAGCAGGCTGCAGGTGCGTTCTGGGACTGGGCTCAGAAAGATAGGAAAGCAAAACTTTGCTTCAGAATAAATGTTTTAACTACTTGGCAAAAGCCTATTTGTTTCTCCATCAGGACACAATTTAAGATAAAAAATGAACTCAAGTTTCTGCCATTTGGATGATGTGGCCCATAAATCCTGAAGACTCATTTTCTCACTTACTCCTTGTGGTATTGAGCCATGGGGACAATTTTCTGCCAGGATTTTGAGAATTAGGAATATTGTTGCTCTGGTACGTGTGCAGCCACCTCAATACAATAAAGGTGAACAGAATTTTGTTTGTGCTGATCAAGGCAATAAAAATGACGCCTGAAAAATTCCACAGCAATGTGTCTTTCAAGAAACAATACCCCGGCTGAAATCAATAACCCACAAACATGATATCACTTCTGTGGTCTGAAGTTTCATACAGTCATTGATCTTAGTGGGTTACAGAGATATAGGAAAAGATGTTCTTACCAGTCAGGCTCACAGGTTGTTCCAATCTTGCTCACGGTGTATCTGTTCCAGCCCAGCACAGGAGGGAAGGTCCAGATGAAGGAGAAGGTCCAGACGAACAGCAGACCAAGGATGGCGTGCTTCGCTTGCAGCCGGATGTTCCCCAGGGGGCGGCAGATCACGAAAAACCGCTCGAAGGACAGAACGGACAGGGACCACAGGGCTACGATCCCTGAGGCAAACAGCAAGAGGTGAGTGTGTAGAGACTCAGTGGGACAAAAGCAGCAGGAGACACACACCTTCAATTCCTGGAATTAGCTTTTAGTAGCTATGAAAATCACTGCTGTCTTTTTATTTGTCCCCACACAGTAATACGCCTCTAGACTATTCTTTCCTGTCTTAAGCCAGAATGTGTGTTATTGCATCTCACGTTTATTATTGATCTAGTGTCTGCCCCTCAGCTCCATTATGGGATGTTCATGGATGGCAAATAAAATTTAAACCAAAACTGCTGTTTTTGTTTTAGACTGACAATCTGAGCTTTGTAGACAAAACTGGCCATCCTGCAACACACCCCTCCCTTTAGGTTTCACTGTATTAATCAGTAAAGGTGCATGTAAGCAAGTGAAAAACAGAGAGTATCTAAATAAATATTATTTTATTATAAATATAATTATATTATTAATATGACAATATTCTAACCCTGAGCATCATGGGGAGGAGCTCAGCGTTATAATTTTTTAATTCAAAGTGATGACCTGACAAACACAGCTATCAATTGGAGGGACTTCACCACTCCAAGATCCCTAAACACATATGCCTCACCTAAGTGACCTATTGATAATAGATTAGCAAGGATTTCCTGACCCTGATTTATCATATCAGTAGGTTTCTTTTCAAGCCGCAACCACTTCTCATCCTAATGACAAAATATGATCTGCGTTGCTGTGCGCCGCAGCCGCTCTTTGGCTTGACGCATTTGGATTTTTCCACTTCTTGAATCATTCATAACTATGCTTGCTGGGGCGGTAATTCAGTGAGTGCACCACCAGGATCCACCATGAGAAATCCCATACTTGTGTCAATGTGCTTAGATTCATTCTGTGTCAGGGGGTTACAGTTGTCCTCCTCTGGCATCTGCATGGAAAGTCAATAACATGTGATATATGGCCTCAGTTGATACAAACTGTAACGGCACAAATGCCACAAGTTATTGAAAGTGACTAACTATTGCAAATGAAAATAATTTGATCATATTTTCATAGAATAGGAAACTAATCATATTCTCCTGAGCATCTCACATAAATGAATATAAATTATGGTCTATATGCCAATTTGACGTAATAAAAACATCCTGTGACTTCCTGTGTCATTCTCCATTCTCTACTTGTCCAAGATGCCAAAATAGGATCGCCCAAACCTTGTTACCAAATCCAATAATGAGCCCGTTTGCCCTGACATAAACAAGGGTCTCTCTTCATACTGGAGGTTACTGGATCCCACAGTGAGGAAGCCTTCATTCTGTCTGAAATGGAGTTTGGGTGGAGGCTGTGAAAGCAATCCACTGACTTAGTTGAATGTTATTGGCCGTCATGGTGCTGGTAACATACTTAGTAGCAAGTCAAGCAGCGCAGTGTGTGAGGAGGCTTCATGAGCCACACTGCTGCTTACATCTGCCGCGAATGTGAATTTGAATTCTGCCTTAAAGACTCAATGGGCTTTGTGACTGATCCTGAGCTCCGGCTTTTACACAGACAATGGCAGCGCAACAGCAAACATCAGGCAGGCATGAAAAATCTGATACAGGAACTCTGCAGCGTGGACTTCCAGAAGTTAAAAATCAGAGACTACGTCCACTGTTATCCTTCCAACTTAGAACATTAATGTCCATCACCTTAACCCTCAAGCCCTGGTTTCACTTTCCCATATGCTAATACTATTACAATTACAGAGCTGCATTGTGGGGAATCAGTTTTAAAGTGTGCAACTGGAAAAGATTTACAAAGTTTATTCTATGGCTGATTAAACAAGAAAGTTTAACACTGGAAAAAGCTTCATTCATATTTAGTTTTTGCTGCTCACATTGTGGATTTTATTTCATTCTAAAAGTCTGACTTCAATTTCTAGTGTGTTGCATACATTTCTAAGAAACTGATCCCCAGTCATTTTTTTCCATTTTGACAACAGCTGTAGTTGGACAGATTTGTCCTTTCTATGTCACCTCCCTGTCAGATGTTCCTATTTATGAACAGATGTTTTAGTCAGCTGTGATGGAAGCCTGATGATGTGCCATGTGGGGATGTATTTAATCTTACATCTTTGCAATCAGCCATGCATTTGGGGGAAAAGTTGTAAAAACCTACCGAAGAAAGTCACAGCAAACCCCTCCAGGACGCAAGCCCACTTCCCCAGGAAGAAATAACCCCTGGAGTTCGTCAGGAAACTTATTACTCCACCGGTGAGGGAGACCAGAAAGTCAGCGATGGCCAGGTTCACTATGATGTAGTTCAGGGGCTGTCTGAGCTGCTTGAACTTGAAGGTGACGAACATGACGAGGAAGTTTTCGCTCAGGGACAGCGAGGTGACCACGAACATGAGCACCGCCAGGATGGTGAAGTTCCACGGCGCGATGTTCTTGATGGGTCCATTGAAGGGGTCGTCGGTGGCGGGGAGTTCCGCGGCCACGGTGTAGGACACTGCGTTCACTGACAGGCTCAGAGTATCCATCGTCCACGTCCCCGGACTGTCGGCTACTTGCTTGATGACCCTAACCGAGAGACAAGCCCGTCTGCGCTCGTGGCTTCATACCAACAACTTCACGTGGAGTCACTCGCAGGGATCCGCGCTCACTGCTCTGTGCGCCGCGGAGCATCCTGTGCGCAGCGGGACTCTTCTTTCACTAACTTCTGCTGTGGAAATCCGCCTCGGCCGAAGTGCATGATGGAGACAGAGAGAGATGTGACAGAAATCCCAAGCCCAGCTGTTGGAAAGCGGGAATGTGGTCTACCTGTGAGAGCGGAGCTGCGGAGGATCGAGCCCACGCTGCGGGGCGCGGAGCAGGCGATGTGTTGGAGGGCGCTGGCAGCAAAGTGCATGAATGACCGATCAGTGGATTCTTGGAAGCTCTTATATACTCTGCTGCTCCGGCATCACCGCCACGCGTCCTGTTTCGCGTGCGCATCACTGCCTGAAACATATGCATCCAAGTGTCCGGGCTTGGCGCGCGCACGCATGGCTACACCCGCCAGGTTAAAGCTGTGACCGATCCCACTCTGTGTTTTTTTTTTTACCACGAATCAATAATAACCGTCAAGTCAAGTGAGTCTGTCTGTAGGCATAACACACTGGCACCCGGTGGATTTATCTTACCAATGCGCAATCATAAAACATGCGTATATAGACGCATGGTTGGCCGATTGGTGGATTCATCAACATAAAGTCCACCATGTAGTTCCCATTCTGAACCTGGCTTTTTGTTTGTCCTGTGTTAATGCTCTGGAGCTACTTCAGAATTATTCCTTGTCATTAGTGAGTCCTCCTCAAACAGTTCTACAATACACTGTCACTTTTTATTGTTAGTGTGCTGGACATCCTGTGCACATCTTTTTATAAACAGTCTGGTGCAGAGTGAAGTTAGAAAACTTTGTGTTCATCCTATCTGGTTTATGTTTTTCATAAAATGAAACTTAATTTGCTTTATTACTTTATCACGTGTATAGTTCATCTATAATTTCAAATGATTTAATCAACTGGTGTCCATACTTCGCATGTCAATTAAAAGCAAACAAGAGTTCAACCTACACAACAGGCTGAGCTTTGATTCTAGACTTGACGCCTTACTACAGCAAACATGCCACCGTATCCACCTGCTCACCAACAGTCCAATACACTCTATAAGAGATACACTTTACAACACAAAAAATAACCTAAATTGAATCCAGAATGTCCCAGTGTCACCAGATAGCAGAGAGGAAAAGCAAGAGTAACAGCATCGCCTCGTAGGCGGTTGTGACCCTGAGCCATTAAAAGTAGCTCAAAAGTTGATCAAAAGCTACGAGCTGAATGTTGCAGGGATAGTTGTGACGCACGGTGAAGCTGCAACTGACTGATTTTGCTTTCATCCAGATGTGTTTCAATAATCCTATTTTTCGCTTAAAGCCACAGCCTGGGGATTCAAAAGGACCAGAAGTTTCGAAAGGAGTTAAAATTTGGTTCCTCTTTCAAGTTCACTTCGAGTCAGAACTTGCAGGTCAAGTCCGCGCAGAACTTCTCCTAACAGGTGAATTACCATCCTGCTGCCCTCATCATCTCTGCCCAGTCTTTGATCCAGTTCCCTCTTAAGAAAGCCAGCCTGTCCATCATGTAAATGAAGATCTATTGCATGAACAGCCTCAAGTTGTAATTCAGACTTAAGCACTGACAATACTAAAGAAATCACCAGTGTAGGTTACAAAATTACATTATTGTGACACGTGACGTTTTTCAACCTTATGTTGACAGACAACACAATCCCCCCACTCTATAATGTGTTCCCCAGGCTTACATCAGGGCAGTGACCTGTGGAATTGGATGGTACGGGAGGTTTTGCAGAAGCTTACGATTGGATGGAAACACAAGCCCACGGGGGGAACATCTTGAGAGGCATCTGCAACCGAGGGACAAACCTGAAATGGAGACGTTAGTGATCATTCTTTCCAATCTATTACAGTGTGGAAGTGCTGACAATGGGAGAAACCCAGTGAAAAACAGTGGAATTAGATGGTAAAGTTAAACTTATCAGTGTAAAACAAATAATATTTATTTCTCACCCCAATAGAAATTTGTCTTTTATAGAATATTGTGCATATAAAAACAACTTGTGTATTCATTTTGCAGAGTTGGGAGAGTACGTCTTCTTTCAGCATCTCCTAAACAATACATTTGTTAACAGTGTGTTTGGCTGTAAGCACAATAAAATAAGAGAGAGCCTTTTTCATGACAGCAGGACTTACTGTGTTGTATTCCCCTTGTATGAAAGCTGGTCTTGGACATCTTTGTATAAGAATAACATTTTAACATACGTGTGATCTGAAATAGTTTTACACTGGTCAGTCCTCATCATAAAATGTATTTTCTACAGCAGTAAATACTAAATCTTTTTTTAGGTCATGCGTCTCTAAAAACAACTCAGTTCAATAAGTCAGCTTGAAACATAGAAAGGTGAAGTCTACTTTTGTCTGCCTCTGAAATCAAGAGCCTGTTGTTTCACATGTGTTTTTATACAGCAGCTGTTCCAGTCTTATCAACCACTCAAAGTGCTTTACAGTACAAGTCACATGTACATCATAGAATATGACATAATATAGCATTCACACAGTATTGGCACTGCCGATATACTGTATTACCAGGGCAGAATGCAGACTGGAGAACCATGGGGATCGAACCCCCGGCCTTCAGCATGACCCTATCTCCTGTGCAGTGTGATTTGGACACATGATGAGATGAAAAAGTGCCAACGCTCTGAGGCAGCAGTAGTATTCCAAAACGCTGCCAGATCATTTTGATAATCTGATTATTTTTTAATATATATATTACTATATCAGACTGACACACACAGACATTTACAGGAGAAACTGGGCTGATCTCCATTCATAGAATCACTTCCAACTTAGGAAGTTGTCTTCAAAGTAAAAGCACAATGTTCATTTTGTTTCTACAATGCTTTATACTGAGTCAGATTACAATGCTTTTATTTGAAAAGTTTTAAACTTCGGTCTGAATTGTCAATTGTTTAACATTTTAGACCTTTGAATAGTTAAAATACAATAAACTAAAAAAACAACACCAGATAAATCATTCAAATGTACATATAAACCACACATATGAACAGTAATAAAGCAAATTAAGTTTCATTTTATAAAAAAAATAATGATGATACAATTTTGCAGATAAACCAGATAGGATGAGCTCAAAGTTTTCTAACTTATAAAAAAGCTGTGCATAACGACATATTTCATAAGCCCACTCTCATTGACCAAATTTGTTTCCTTTCATGCTCCCTGTTTCTGTTGTAGTTTGTCTCAACCTTAGAGTCTGGAGCGTAAAGGTGGGATAATGCTCTGCTTTCCTGGGGGACAGGAGAAAAAAACTGACCTCACGGGTTCTGTTTATTTCACCTCCCATGCTCCCGATCACCTGCAGTGTGCAGAAACACCCTCCAGCTCTGAGGCTTTTGTGTTGGTGTGTGTGAGCTCAGTTGTGATAACATCCTGTGACTTATTTAGGTGAGTTTGGACATGTTTGCTACACACCAGTCTTCCACTTGATGATGTGGTGAAAATACAGCAAACAGTTTGGAAACATGGCAGCAAATAGTTTTTCCTTAAGCTTTCTAAATCTACTGCTGGACAATTTGATGTATACAGTCTCATCCAGGGATTTGAAGTGAAATGTAAAGACTATACACAAACAGACATTTTAAGAATTGTAAATTCTAAAGACTTAGATGCTGCACTTGATGTTCTCTCACAGACCTGTTCGGTTATCAGAAGTTAAATCAAAAATAAACAGGGAATATGTGTGCCGTGATTTCAAAGGTTAGACACGGTAAATTCCACACAAACAAACATTTCAGCCTCACCCCAAAAATGAAAATTCCAATAACATCCGCATCAGACATTTGAGATTTCATACGCACTTTGATCATGGGCCTCAGCAGACCTGCATACTGCATGTGGCACGGGCACAAGTTGTGTGTGTGTGTCTCAAATGTTGATGATTGGAGGCTCTAGCATTTTAACATCAAATACACATCACAGCAGTAATCACCTCGAGTCACGTCACTGAATCTGAACAAAAACTTTTCATTTCTCTGGTTTGGTCTGGATTTAGAAAAGACAATTTCACCAAGTGAACTCAAGGATGATGACGGAACTGAATTGCAAATTGAGGTTAATTCGCATATCATGCACAATCCCAGATCATGCTCACATTCTGGTGTGTTATTGATAGCTCATTCCCACGAGGGTATTTATGATTGACTGTCAGCCAATCCCCTGCATTTCGCACAATAATATAGGAAGAATAGGTGCATTGTGTGTGACAGTGATCAGAAGAGTGGAGAGTAAAACAGTTACCCAACAGTAAAAATAAATCTGGTGGTGTCATACATGACTTGCATGAACTCCGGATTTTCATTTTCGGAGTTTGTCCTTCACAACGCAGCAGAAGAAACATTTCCAGATCATGTAGGTGAGTGGTGGTGCCTGTGTAGACAAGCAGGAGGGATGTATACATTGTGCTGTGGAAAGCATGTGTTGTTGTTTACAGCATTTTTGGCATTGGCCCTTTTCTCCAAAAGCTCTTGAATCTCATCGTCTTGCCACGTTGACGTCTTAATCAGCATCTTCTACTCTTTTTCATCCTGAGATATTTGAACTCCTCCGGTTTTGCATTCGTTGCGTGTTAGAAATAACATCCACATCCCCCCACTGGGACATTTACTTTGAGTAAGTTACTTTTTTGGGAAATTTCCCTGCCAGCCTCTGACATTTGAGTTCTCAGCCACTTCAGTGCATATCGGAAAGCAACCAAAGTTGCAATAGATCGTTTACAAAGATTCCAATGGAAGAAATCTAATTATTTGTTTTGAATAAGGGACCTGTTGACTGTGATTATGGGTTCTTAGTTGTAAAGCCTTGTGTCAACAGGTGGCATTGCAATGACATGCTGTTGCCAAGTGACATGTACAGTATCTACAGATC